TTGAAGGAGGACATGATGCTTTTATTTTAGTTTGGGAAGCAGGATGGTAAGCAGATTGGTTATCTCTTTTTTTAACTTTATCCCCTCTTAATATAACACTATTCATTTATATTCCAAAGAACGGCTCCTTAATTAAACCTCTCAACCTTTTTTTGTACAGGCAAAGATCAGCATAAAAAAAGGTTCAAATATGAAATATGTGAGATCCTGAAAATAGGAATAACAGTCTTATGTTTAAACGGATTTAGAACATTTAACAATTACATACGTGACATGTATGCACTTGTATATGTTACCCTATTAGTGTAAATGTAAAAAATGTGATACATCGTGTAAATTGTAGAATAATGTCTGTTTTTGTGATGCAAGATATATTTGCTTTTTTTTAACAAAAGAAGAATGATTTTTTGTTGAAGAATCCATACATAGGACAGAATAAGCAGTGTGAAATGTGTGGCTCCTTAAGTACAATAAAAATAGACAAAGCCTTGGGAAGCTTAACATTTTGTCAGATTAACCAAAATGCAAAAAATAAAATAATTATTTAAATAAAGTGAAGGATTTTCCCCTGAAAAAAACCTAAATTGTTTAAGTATAACCAATACAATTATCTAAATAATATATTATAAATACAAATCGTAAAAAACATGTAGGGAGTAAACTCCTAATGTGTTTACTTTACTTCACTTTATTGTGACCCAAATACATCTTAACCATTATCTTATTTTGGAGATGTATGCAATATATCAAGAAGTGGAGTTTACTTTAGTTTGATGGAGGATCCTGCTCACTTCAGTCAGGTCTTAGGGAGTCTTTTGACAACATTATTAGCTGAAATGTTGAAATTCTGTCCTAGGTGTATAAAGCAAAAGAGCAGGTGTACGTCGCCATCTAGAGTTTAAAATGCATCACTTACACTGAGAAGCATTTATCTTCCCCCATCAGTTTTGAGTTCACTTTACCTAATGCCCTGTTGTCTATCACATGACAACAGGGCATTACAGTGTTACAAGCAGTCATTTCATTACAAATATATTTTACAAGTAATAAAGTTGAGATTCCCGAATACTGGGCTCTGCTCTCTTGATACACCCATACAAGGATTTTCATCTATTTTTGCTTGATCAGAGTTCCTCAGAGGAGGGTGTGTTACGAAAGGTTGGAATACAGGATCTCTCCTCAAATGTGAAAATGAAACTAAGTGGCCCCATCTTTTATTATTTTATGACACAGAATAAACAACAATGTATGTCAAGTTGAAAACAAATGTCTACAACGGATACAAATTAAAAGCCCCCACACACTATTCCAACACTTTCACTGCTGTCCCTCACTAAATCTGTTTTTATGAATGTGTGTGTGTGTGTGTGTGTGTGTGTGTGTGTGTGTGTGTGTGTGTGTGTGTGTGTGTGTGTGTGTGTGTGTGTGTGTGTGTGTGTGTGTGTGGGTGTGTGTGTGTGTGTGTGTGTGTGTGTGTGTGTGTGTGTGTGTGTGTGTGGCTTCAGGGGAATGGGTTGTACTGAGCCGTACCAGATAAAATGTGTATCTCGGAAAATTATGACATCTTTTGAATTATACTCACATCTAAAGTTGAGTTACGAAGGAAGGAAACGGAAGATCCAAGAACACAGCAGAAAATACCCGCTATCGACATTGGTGGCGTCAAAGACCTCGGAAAGAAGGTCTTCAAGATTGTAACTTAAAAAGCTTTTTAGCTGCAAAATACGCCTAAAATGTCACTATAAGTAAACCATAAGAGTTTAGCTTACACTGGTGTGGGTAACAACTTTATTCAGGGTTACTTAAAGAAACCCCTTTTAAAAAACTGCTAATACATTTATTTTGGGTGTTGTTTTTAGCAAACAGGTGTGGTAACATAATTAGCACGCTAGCTTTATAGCTGTGACTAAGACAACAGGTTGAGTTAGTTGCTAGCAGGTTGAAATAAGTAAGGTGTAATTCTTATTCGCTGAATTGCTAGCTGGGTAAAATACAGTAACTACAGAGAGGTTTAGTTTTTAAGAAACAATCTTACAGATTTTAATTTATATGATTGTCTGTTAAGGCATTATTCACTACTGAACACAATGGTTCATGAGCCTTTGCCCACTTGTGAAAGCCCTTGCATTTATTGTATTACGAATTGGGCGTCTGCGGCGACATTTCAGGGAAAGTTTGATCTAAGAACACAGCAGAAATAACCTGGTATTGCCATTGGTGCCTTGAAAAAACACAGAATGAAGATCTTCAAGATTGTGACTTTAAAGCTTTTTGGCTGCAAATACGCCTAAACATTTTCAAACCAGAACAATATAGCAAATTAGCTAACCAATGGTTTGGGTGACAACTTTCTTAAGATTCCCTTTAAAGGTGGGGTAGGCCTATGTAATTTATTTCAGAAACACTTTTTGTTATATTCCATGGAATGCTCTTAACATCCCGATAGCAATGAATATATTAAATGCTTTGACAATAAATACATAAAAAAGTGTCATCTGTGGAAGCCGTAATACTGTAAAAAGCACGACCAATCATTTTAGCCGGCCTGGCTAAAATAACTGGATGGCCTACCTGCCTGTCAGCCTTCCATCTGTGCACAAACTTATCTCGTGCCCTCATTGGTCATGTGCGCGTTCGTGTGTGTTGGAGGAGGGGCTCTGTAAGGAAGTGGCAGATTTTTTCCGGCTGTGTATTTTCAAATTCTAGCGCACTCGAGCTGGTTTCTCCAAAATTACCTACCCCACCTTTAAGCAAACCCTTTCACCAACATATCTATTATAGCTTGTCTCACATTTCTTTTGGGTTGTTTTTAGCAAACAGGCTACATAATTAGCACGCTAGTTTTACTTGTATATAGTGTGTGTGTGTGCGTGTGCGTGTGCGTGTGTGTGTGTGTGTGTGTGTGTGTGTGTGTACGCGTGTGTGTGTACGCGTGTGTGTACGCGTGTGTGTACGTGTGTACGTGTGTGTGGGCTGCATTCATTATCTGATCCGAAGGTGAGAACAAGGGAAAACATTTAGCCTGCTACTCATGAATAAATATCCAGTATGGAGACACAGGAAAAAGATCAACATTATTTTTTAATATTTGTTTTGAGCATTTGTTAAGCCTGTTATTATATACACACTCGCATTTGCCAACCGGAATGTCTTTGCAGAGGTATTAGGGTATGTGTATATAGTGTGTGTGTGTGTGTGTGTGCGTGCGTGTGTGTGTGTGTGTGTGTGTGTGTGTGTGCCTCAGGAAACTGGTTAAACCTGAGGGAAGTAACTTTATCGCTCATATCTCCAACTGCTTGTTTGGTTAAGGATTGTTTGAATGCCACACTTGTCCATACACTAAATTCACCCCCTACTTCTTGGGTGATTTCCATTTTTTTCAATATTTCATTATTAGGTCGTATACTGTATCAATCACTTTGGCGGTTTGATCCCTGGCTCCTCCAAGTTTCTCCAGATTGTAAAGCGCTTTGTCTGTTAATATTAAATATTAGACCAGTCCTTTTACAGAGCTTAAAGGTAGGGCAGGTAAGTTTGAGAAACCGGCTCGAGATCGCTAGAATTTGAAAATACACAACCGGAGAAAATCTGCCACTTCCTTACAGAGCCCCTCCTCCAACACACACAAACGCGCACATGACCAATGAGGGCACAAGATAAGTTTGTGCACAGATGGAAGGCTGACAGGCAGGTAGACCATCCAGTTATTTTAGCCAGGCCGGCTAAAATGATTGGTCGTGCTTTTTACAGTATTACGGCTTCCACAGATGACATTTTTTTATGGATTTTTTGTCAAAGCACTTAAAGTGGACCTATCATGCTATATTTGAATAATATAGTGTAGGACCATACCTATATAAGGCATATTTATACTTTTTTTTTTTCAAAATACCAAACAGATCATGCATTTTAGCCATGCCTCATTTTGCTCAATTTGACCATTTCTAGCTCTGTTTTTGCAAGGGCTGATTCTGTGAGAACAGCCTCATCTACTGGCCTGGCATATGTACTACAGCGTCTCCAGCGCTTTCGAACGGCAATGGCCGTGGCTGTCTCCTCCTGATTGGTGGAGTTGGCCCAATAGCCGTAGCGCCACCGTCCTGACGTCAGGACAGTGTTCAAATCTGGATCAGTTTTGATCAGATCCATTGCAGCCCCTTTTTTAGAGATTTGGGTATGGAGGAAAATAGAGAGGGTTGTGTTTTCTGACACTTGGTGAGTTCCCTGGAACACCGGGGACACATATTCACGTATAAAAGACATACAAAAGTGCATTTTGCATGATAGGTCCCCTTTAAGATATTCATTTCTATCGGGATGTTAAGAGCATTCCATGGAATATAACAAAAAGTGTATCTCGAGCCGGTTTCTCAAACTTACCTACCCCACCTTTAAGCAGTTTTGTGAAGAATGTGAAAAAAACGAATGTGAAAACCTAAGTAATTTCACTCAGACTCAAGGCCTCGTTTGCTGTCTAAAGTGTCTCTACTGAATACAAATGTGAAGGTGTACCGACTCTGTTGCCCTCCTGAAAACCCAAGTTCCTTTCAGCATTGTAAAATGTTACATCAGTCAGTAATAAGGGAGTGTTTATTTTATAAATGTATTTTATAATTCTTATGCTTACACCTGGCTTTAACAAAAGAAAAATATCTTACAATTATTTTAAATAAAGGTTCTTCTCTCAGATAAATTATTTCGGGTGTCTCATCTGTTGAGTTCTGCAAAAAGAAAATCTGTAAATAACTAACACATTCACTAATGAATACAACATTTAAACTGATTTACAGTGACAGGGAGATTAATGTATAACAGGATAGATGCTTAATGTGAACTAGTATTGCAAATTAATATTATCAATAACAACAAAATCAGCCTCTTCTACAATTTCTAGTAATGGGTTAAAAGCTATTAAAAAAAACAGCACAAAGGCAGAAAAACTACAATATACAATTGTTTTTCTCTTGAACTACAAGAGGGAAGAATGAATCTAATCCCAATACATGACAAATCTCTTCTTTTATTTTTTGCTTTTACGGAAATTCAAACAGAAAACTCTGATATGTTGACCAACCAATATTTGTCTACTTAGATTTTGTAACAACTACTGAAATATTACCTTTATATTATTTAAAGTTCTCCTGTCAAACATTACAAGCGGACTCTTTTGCTTTAATGCAATACAAAATGGCCAACTTTTATTTTGGATGCCAAACGAAGTGTCCGTACTCTCACTTGAAAAAAAAGGAAGCATGACAGGCATTCTAAGAGCAATAACCCATTGGTGTGACTATAAAGACCAAACACATGTGTAGTGAAATTAAAAAGATTCATCAATTTGTTTTGCCAAATATTGTAAAATTGAATTTTAGAAAAATATCATATAGTCTCCCATCCTATTTATTACCGTCTTTTCAATGAAAGATTGATTTAAGACACTTTAATACCAATTAAGCCAATATGATTTTCAACCCTGATTATACAAGCTCCCAATAATTACTGCTATTTATGAAACAATAAAAAAAAGGAATAGAAATCAAATGAAATTCTAACCAAGAATACATCTTGTGAAAACAAACCTCTACTTTTTAAAAATCTTTTTTCATGACAAAATCTTAAGCACCATCTTGAAGCACCTTATACAGCTGGTAGGCTACTTGCTTTATTCATTATATACAAAAAAATAAAAAGTCAGTCAACGTTTATCCTGTGCAGCGTGTCACTGAACCTTAGACACCAAGTGTATGGAGTCCACAAGGGCAGACGAGAAGTAAGGAACATTTTTTGGGATGACTGGGTGAAAATCGCAGTACATTATAAAGAAAATACATGAAAAGGGATAACAGAGGGATCTTGGAAACTTAAAAACACAAGTCATTAGAATATGTTGTCATCATTCAATCCACAAATAGGCCTACCTAATATTTAACAATTACGACCATTTTGGCATCTAATCAAATATGTTTGTTAATTATTATTTAAAAAAAGACCAGGGCACACAGCCGCCAGGAGTCATCTGGTCTCCAGTTTGGTGAAATGTTCAAAACACTGCTGGTACTAGTAGCCTCCGTGTGTAACAGTGTGAGTGGATGTCTATGTTGTTAGTGTCGGGGGCCACCAGGTCGCTGAAGAGGGCCACCTGATCAGGAAAGATCGAGAGAAAAAACGAAATAATTGTTACATGAAGCTAGACTGTGGTCTACTGTTTAAACCTACATCTTGTAAAAAGTGACAATCATTTAAATTCTAAGGTAAAAGGAAAAAAAGTCACCCACCTGGAGAAGCGAGAAGTGGAGGACGTGAACTTTTTAGAGAAGGCGGGGCTCCTCTGCCCATGTGAGGGCCTCTGGGGCCTTGGTGGTATGGGGGAACGTGGTGGAGAGGGGGCCCGCGAGGGGCAGAGGGGCCACCGTAGGGATTGTGTGAAGACAGCAGGCCTCGTGAAGATGAGCCCCCTAACGACGGACCGTTAGGTCGATGCAAGGACAGTAGAGGAGGAGGTTTGGTTTTGGGATAAGAGCCTGAGAGTAAGAGACAGAAGACAATGATTGAAAAACATAAAGATCTTTCTGCAAGGCTAATTCCTCGTACGTGTAAACCTACCTGGTAATAAACCTGTTTCTGATTCTGATTGATTTTCTACTTCATTGTAAAGTAGAAACTAAAAGTTAACCAAGAGGAAAACATTTGTTTTTTTTGTTGTGCTTGTCGATTCTCATGATTGCATTTTCCACGGAGAATGTCGGACCAATAAGAAAGTACAGTTTGGGCCTTGCTCTTTCCTACGGCCCCCTTAGCAAATTACATTTTTAAATAAACATGCTTTCCTTTTATTCACTTTGCAACCAAAAGCAGGCTAAATAAAAAAAATACCAATAGTATCAATTTCATTCTGATTCAGACTAGCTAAACAACGTGGACAAAGTAATTTTTTTAATGAACTTTAATTATTAAAACATTAAAAAGACTCTTTAAATAGTCAGGTAAGTGTTCAACTCTGCAGACTAACCTGGTGAAGGCAACAGAGGAGCGGGAGAGTGGTTCATCATGGGCCCTGCTCCGGCTGAGGACTGGGGTTGAAGCAGCCCCGGTGGAGTGGGGAGCAGAGGAGGGGGTTTCCCCAAACCTGGAGGCAACATGTTACCCCTCTTCCCCTCAGCGTGGGAAGCTGAAGGCAGAAACAAACATTTAAAAAACGCAAGAGACAGGAAAAGTGTGGCCCAAAGAAAACTTCACTCAGGATTAACCCGTTTCCTGATGAAAGAACACATAAATGGCCATAGACATGCAGCGTCGTTTAGGGCCTAAAAGAGGCTAGGCGCGTCCGTCGGGGGTTGGGTGTGTACTCTTGCCTAATTTCAAGGGCTATGAGGCCGTTTGTGCCTGACCCTGCTTAGCGACCATAACCAGATTACTCGCGAGACCTTATCTTCTTCCAGGCGTTGTTTTCTAAGTGTGTATTCAAATACTATCCATAAGATAGCAATGTTTTGCTGGAAAATGCTGTTTGGGTCTCTGCCGTGTGTGTTTGCTGGACAAAGGTATTTGAAACAAGTTTCCAGAGAATATTAACGATCGTTTCACATTTTAGCAGCAGTGCCCATAAAATGTATATAGTGGAAACACTGGACAGATCTAAAGCTATGGGGAACATTGGCCCTGCACTAAAACTTCCTATCATATCAAATTTACGAAAGAAAGAAATTACATCGGCTGGCCTGGCTGTGATTAGTTGTTCTTCATCACATGATAAGTATTACACACAGGCAAGTCGCACTTCTTTCCACTCAAGCAGCATACGTTGCAAACTGGTCCAGCCAAAAAATAGGCGCTTGAGAACGATTGCGCGACGGTGATGCTCTTGCAATTGAGCGAGCCTTTCGCGTGTCTTCATTGACAAAATGGGATTTTCAGGGAGCAAAATGTCTCAGCATGTGTATGTCCCCCAATAATTCAAAAGGTCCATTCAGTTATATTGACGAGTACAAACACCAGTTTATTTAGCCGCCCACCTTGTGCGTGCTCCTGCCGGGAACGGACGTACTCCGAGATGGTTTCCAGCTCTTCGTGGTAGAGATGCACCCCGTCGGCCAACAGCAGGAGGAGCTGGCGGGTTTCAAGGGGAACGGTGTGGCGCTCGATTTTTTCTCGTTCCAGGAAGTCATCCAGCAGCTGTGACGCCTGTGCTGCAGTCTCCGCGGGATCTCTTCCTGGGCGTTCTTTGACAAGTCCATGGCTGTACTCTGCTGTAACAAAGTCCATGGCCTGGTCTTTGGGCATGTTGCGATGGACTGAGTGGGGGGGAATTGGAATGTTAATGGTGGTGTGTCAGGAGACTGCAGGGGAAGAAAGGTGACATAACAGGCCAAAAAACGTAGAAATAGCAGTAAAATCAATGATTTACACGCCAATTAGGATATACTGATATTCTGTTTTGTTTTAAAGGGATGTTGGGTTTAGCAAATTCAGCCGATACATTTGTAGTTTGATAGATAGTCATTTTAAATGCAGGTTGTGTTTTTTGTGCAAGAGGATGGGCATACTATGGGGCATTCAATTTGTAGATCTGCATTCATCAGTCACTTTATATATTGCTGCATTATGTTCCTGGACAGAGAATATCTGATTTGTAAGATTTGTTTATTTTTCCAAATGTGCAATCAGACATGAGAACAATAATAACAGTAGTAATTAAATGTATATATTTTATATATTTTTATATTTAAATTATTGGTTGCAATGAATATTGCCTTTACTATATTAGCTTCAAAACTTGCATTTCATTTTGGTTGCGTTGGCAATAATGTATTTCTTTTTGAGATAAACAAAGTAACATGTAACATTAAATCACAGCACAGTTTTGATGTTCTTGTTTCATTAAATGCGTATTTGTGCAATTTGTTTTATGCATATATGTTTGTATATTGTGGACTATTTAAAATATGCAGTTCTACAATATAGAAAACATAGTTCTGCATGCTAATACTACTGTTTATTGCATATCACGGTATAGATATTGATAATGTTTCAAAATGTGAATTGCATATGGTTTATATAGGATCTTTAAAAAAGGAAATGCTTTATAACAACTAGGGTTCTTTTCCATAGCTTTGGCCATTAGGTATGATAGTATCCGTCTAACCTTAATAATTGCTGTGTAGAATGAACAGGACATGGTTAAACTGTACACCCCAGCACGTGCACTCGGCTCTGCATCGGCCAAACGACTCGCTGCACCCGCACTGCGAGGGGGACCCAAGTTCCCATCAGCAAAAACACGTGGGTTTGCTATCCTGGCTCCAAAATGGTGGAATGAGCTCCCCATTGACATCAGGACAGCAGAAAGCCTACACATCTTCCGGCACAGACTAAAAACTAATCTCTTTCGACTCCACTTCGAGCGATAGAATTACTAACAAATAATTACTAACAAAGCACTTATATACTAATAAAGCACTGGCTTATCTAAAGCCAGTTGAGTAGCACTTGAAATGTTTTGGCTCTATGAAACCTGATGTACTTATATGATTCTGTTTTCTTCAAGTTTGTCTCTTCCTGGTCGAATGCACTTATTGTAAGTCGCTTTGGATAAAAGCGTCGGCTAAATGCAATGTAATGTAACAGTCTGATGATCATGCGCTCAGACTTTAGACCTCATTGAACAGGAAAACATAATGGTGCCTTAATAGGGCAACTATGATATATTTAGCCTGAAATGTTTACAACAGATAGTAAAGGTCACAATTCTTTAGTTTACCTTTTGAGGTTGAGATTGACTTTGGATTTCTGCGGCAGAGGCGTTTACAGACCTCAGCAGCTACTTTCTTGAGTACAATTTTATCATACACAATAAAGGCATGGCTTAAGCTATGAAAAGAACACGTTGAGCTTAACTTAAGTTTTCCTTTTAATTTAAAGTTTGAACTTGTTTTACATACCTTCTTTTTAACTTGTGGAGTTTGTTTATTGTGTACTGTTATGTAATGTAAATTAGTCATGTCAATGGAAGCCAGTAAATGAAGTGCCATTGACGTATGTATTAACAGAATGAATATTAATATGTAGTATACTTTTTTTTTCTTCAGTCGATTGAGAATTGTAGCTTTAGGACTTGAAATGTTTATGTTTTAATGGGTGTATTTCTTGTTTTTTTATTTGGTTTCATGCTAAATGTACTTCATATTGGGATTTTTTTAAGATGTGAACTAACTGGCGCTGTTTGAAGATATGAGGGGCAGGGACTTACTTTTTAGGGATTCTGAAAATATAATAACAGTGCAGGAGGACAGAGCTACGTTTGTGTGCTCCACCAGAATACATAACGGCGAGCCGACTGCTCGGACATCCTGCAGAGCCCGGGTCAGGCCTGACTCCGCCTGAAGGTAGAGCATTTCCACTGACAGGCCACGCTCCTGCAAGCACTGGCTTAGCGATTTGGGGTAATCCCTTTGAGAGGAAGAGAAACATTTTGTTAACTTGACATTTCTATATTAAGTGACATGGCATGTAGAGAAACCTAAAGTTTAACTCGGAGAGTGTGATTTACCAAAATAAATGTATTTCATTACTTTTGAGTGGTGAAATCTGTTTGTGTGGAGCTTTAACTAGATGCAACCAAGTGCAGCATTGCGTAAAGCTTTGTGTGGGACCAACATAGGTTTTAGGCTCCCTCATAGATGTATTTATTGTTGTAGAAGAATGTGTTTAGCTAAAACAGAGGGTCTTATTCATCTGGGAGACTTGAGCGAATTTGTTTTGAATTTGAAAAGAATGGTGGTACTTCTGTCAAAAAGTGTTGTAAAAAAACGATGGTAACCCAAACTCATCAATCAACGAGTCGGGTGTTTGCGAAATTTTGCTCCAACATTCAAAAACCAAAAGGTGAAATTTGTTAAAAGAAGCAGAGATACCATTTCAGGTAAATGTGGGGAAATAGTTATCGACATAGAAGTAGGGAATGTTGTTTGAGAAAAATTAGGTAAACAAAGACAACAAAAACAATATTTGCATGCCATTAGCATTTGTTTTCACTGATATCCGTAGCTTGATAAAAATGTGAGCATTTGGAATGTACCAACCACAAAAAGGAAAGAGGAAAAGAGTTTTATGTTGCAGGTTATGTTTCAGATATTTATGACAGATACCTTTTTTCTTCATTGGAATCATTGTCAATGCAATGCATCCAACACTTTTTAGACCTACAGAGGTTTAGTGTTAACTATTCATAACAGTTTTCGAAAGTAAAATGCCTTTAACACCCGTTTTATATATTTGATTTTGAAGATAGCGTTTTCGTATGGCAGGAAACCCTGGCTATTGTTCATTAGGTCATTTGAGTGGCCTTTGGAATGAATACGCTCTGCAATGTTACTGTGTCACCATTGGAAAATGCAGCCACAGCTGCCACATTTGTAGTGTACATTTGCATATTAGTATTTTGAATGTGAATTATTTTTGATGTTGCATTGTGTGATCAGTGTAAATGTTTTATGCACGATGATCATTACATTGGTATCACCCTTTGTCAGTGAATTGGAGAAAGGTAGGTCACTAATGGCGTGACGTTATTGGTTTAGTACAACAGCTGAATCATTATCAAACATGTTGCTAACAGATAATGCTAAGTATTGCCTGTTATGAGGATAAAGTGTAGCGTGTAATTGGTCCGTAATAATAGTAGACGTCGAAAGAATAACGTTTGTGTAGTTCATGTAATTTTTCATGTTCTGTAGAATGAATAGACATGCTGTTTAATGGCATTTCAAATCAGAATCCAACAACTCTGAAACTTTGGTGGATGCAAATACAACAATGATACACATGTGTGGATTTGACGTCAAGTATTATAAGTGTTACATGTGAATAAAACTATAAAATGTTATTTATGAGAAAAGGCTGTTAGGCCAATGTGCTGAGAGAAAAATAAGACATAGCTTTTAATGTTTTACCTTCTTCATATGAGCATGAATGCCACATGTATTTTCAGACAAATAATTGACCAGCTCCCTGTCAAATCCCATAATAAGACCAACAGTTCTCAACACCTTGTGGACATATACAATCCAATGGTTCTCATTGGCCAAAGTATCAAAGTGAACTTGGATGCAAGTGTTGCAGCAATAAACATGGACAAGTCAATCAAATCAGCAGTAAAGACTGGCAGACTGCAGATTAGACTAACGTGTGGGAGCAAAACTAATTAAATATGAAATGTATTATTGTTAAGATTAAACTTAATACAATCCCTGTCTCAGATAAGCACAGAAGCTTTCCATACAATCATCTTGAATGGGGAAAATAGGTCCAGCTGTAAAATGAGTGACTAACTAACCTTTGGTACTGTATGCACAAGGACATGTTTTGTCTTCTTTCATCATTAAACATTATATTACTACAGAAGGTCATATGTCTCTTGCAGGTAGGATTAAATACACTTGCCGAATGCTAATGGTTTCACCAAACCCCCCCCAAAAATGGACAACTAAACAATATTCCGAAGTTTTGTCTCTGCGAAGTATAAACTAGTTTATTAATCATTTTAATTGTCAGCATCAATGCAAAAACATTGTACATTTGAATTGTTGAGGTTTAGACCTTTGTTATGAAGTACTCACATGCACCGGTTGGTGACAGAGAGGACCACGCAGTCGGCCGGTGTCTTGTCCTCCTGCACCTGTCTGTAGAACTTCTGGTAGAGGGCTTTGCGTCTGTCTGCTGGAGTGCAGCCGTCTGCCTTGGCTGCTTTGGATGGCTTTGCTATTTAAAAGTGTAAACCAATGGGTTACCGGTTATTAAAGGTAGGGTAGGTAAGTTTGAGAAACCGGCTCGAGATACACTTTTTGTTATATTCCATGGAATGCTCTTAACATCCCGATAGCAATGAATATTTTAAGTGCTTTGACAAAAAATCCATAAAAAAAATGTCATCTGTGGAAGCCGTAATACTGTAAAAAGCACGACCAATCATTTTAGCCGGCCCGGCTAAAATAACTGGATGGCCTACCTGCCTGTCAGCCTTCCATCTGTGCACAAACTTATCTCGTGCCCTCATTGGTCATGTGCGCGTTCGTGTGTGTTGAAGGAGGGGCTCTGTAAGGAAGTGGCAGATTTTCTGCGGTTGTGTATTTTGAAATTCTAGCGATCTCGAGCCGGTTTCTCAAACTTACCTACCCCACCTTTAAGGAAATGCAGTTTTATTTAAATGTACAAAGTAGCAGCACACTGACAGAGCATGAATTATCATAGAGCATTTTTGTAAGTAATAATGAAAAAATATATATATAGAAATGGTATCTTGTGCAAAGTTTCTGGGAGCTTCATTAAAACGTGTTACGGTGCTTTTTGTGATAAACATAAAGAAAATGTCTCACCATTTTGCTGATGCTTGTACCCCTCGTACTTCACATTTCCACTGTAGTTTTGAATTTGCTCTAGTTCTTCATAGCTGAAAGAGAAGCAGTGTCTTAAATATACTAGTAGTAGTAGTAGTATTGAGTGTTGTTGTGCTGTATGTTTCGGTCCATTATTTGTCGAAATGTTACTCTGCTGTCCATAATTTACTTAATTCAAATAAAGCCAGCTGGATTTTTATCCACGTAATATCCATCAACTACCACTAAAACAAGTCAGACTGATGTTATTAAACAGACTTTTTTTTATGTTAAGGTAGGTACCTGTCCAGGGCATCCTTCAGCTCCTCGCCCCTCTCCTCTCTGGAGTAAGGTGTTGCTCTCCGAAACAGACGCAGTTGTTGAGAACTGCACAACACAAGACAAAACAACATGTACCAACGTTTACATGTATGTTGAGCCTACACCGTTTTGTTTTCTGCCTGCTACCTAGCATATCCGCTGCTAATGCTAAACTTGCTACAGAGAACACTCGGCTTACCTTCCATTGGGGTTAGCTGCTTGCCGTCGGGCAGCTGCGGACGACTTCGCCCAGGACGACATATTCTCTGGACTGCAACTTCAGCCAAACACACGTAAGCTTATTAAGCTTTTAATAACAGTGGGAGAAAAAAACTGTTATGCTCATAGGTTCTACTACAACCCTCCCTGTAGTGGGGAGGAGACGGAAGAAGAGGAGGAGCAGCTCTTCTTCTGGCAGTCGACTGTCCAGCTTCAGGTGCATCAGCGCCCCCTAGTGGTGCAGTGGACGTTAGCTGCGAACAGACTGGTTATATAAAATCGATGCTCTCCCGTAATGCTGCTGAGTTCTCCCCGACCCTTTATATATACAGTCTATGTCCCCGACCCCTAATCTTATACATTATATGTCACCCATCTGTTATTTCCCACAACCCCAGACAAATGTTGGAAAAAAAGAGGTAACTGTACTTTATTTGAGTATTTTCACAACTTCAAACTTCATCATTTAAAATGTGTGATGCTTATATGGGCCATTATGCATAACGAGTAGGCTAATTTTACTTTTGGTACTTAAAGTATATTTTGATGTGAATACTTTTGTCCTCTTTCTAAATACAATTTTTAATGCAGGACGTTTTGTAACTGAGTATTTTTACACAATAGTAGGACTACTGCTCCTTTTGCTTACTTAAGCACTGGGGCCCCAGGCCACCCCCCAACGTAATTTACAGTTGTTTACAATGTTCAATCTGAATTTTCTTTAAAATAAAAAACATCTATATTGATTGACTTTTCTACATCCAACTCACAGGTTTATCATTACTTTGAGAACAAAGATTATTAATTTAACCCTTTTAGAAGGGAAGATATGGTAATTTGTTCTGGGAATGTCATTTTCGAGCCTGAGACCTGAAAAACAGGCTCAGGGTTGAACAAAATTTGAGTAGGCTACTTCTTCCACCTCTGCCAACAAAACGTTTTAATATCTCAATATCTAATCATTTCGTTTTTTTATTTCAACAGCTGAAGTTTAGAGATTGTGAGGTCCAGCTTTCTGGATCCTAATACTAGAAGAAATAATGCTTAAAAAACAACCTTTTGTTATAGCCTACTGAGATCACTTGAGGCAGGACAGCAGCATGACTACCCTTTGAGATTCTGTCAAACCAGTGTTATAGGAAAATGTCTGATATATGTAAGAGCATTACAGTACACAGTCCAATGCCAAACAGAAAACTTAGGACATGAAACAATGCAATTGAGCCCATAATTATTTAGGCAGGCGTGTGATTTGTAAAAAAGACAAGGGATTGCTGTTTGCAATGGGAGTGAGCATATTTTGTAAAAAAGAGCAGATCATTCTGTTCAGCAACATGGGCAACAGCATGTCAAATCATATCCTATTGAGTAAAGTTTAGAGCAACTATGGAAAAAGCTTAATTGGCGTATTTATCATATTATAAACCTACATTTGTTTGTACTATAGCTTAGATTAACAGGAGATTTGCATGAGATTTTAACAATTGTTTCAAAAATGATGTGAGAGCATATTTATTTCATATGTCATGCTAATGCATTTAATGTTAAAAAACTGTAGCACAAAACTTTTTTTGTCCTGAATGTTACAAGGTTCATTTTTCGTTGGTATGAAGAAAAACAATAAACATGATTGAATTTCATTATCTAGATTTAATAAAACACGATATTACTAGATTGCATGTAGCACTGACCCAGGTGTTTACTGCCGAGCACCTTGCGTTTAGGTCGCGCGGATAAGCTCACGCACTCTTCTCGAACTCGACCCGTGAGCGCGCCGCGGTGGTGACAGTCGCCATTTTATTTTGAAAATCAAACTGAACTGGAGGCAGAGCGACCCTTCCATTTCGTCAAGTTTGTTGTGCGAAACAAGAAGGGATGAACATCTGAATTACTTTCTTGGGAGCATGGTGAGACTTACAATATATTTGGTTAACAACCGTCGACATATCTATATTTAACACTAAAGTAACGATGTTGATACGGAGGATGGCCGTTAGCCACCAGTGCGGGGGGGTCTATTTGCTGAAAAGCAGCTGTCATATTGGTTGCATCAAAAAGTAATAATTCATTCATTTAGTAACGTTTCTCGTGGAAAGTTGGTAACGTACTTGTCTAAGACATTAGTAGTCACATTTTTGCCGGAGAGAATATTCATGTTGACTCGGTGTAACATTTACGCGTCGTTACGGGATAGTTAGCACAGGCAACTAGCACATAGTGTTAGCAATTTCATATATTAGCCAGAGCCCGTTGAAATGAGCTAACGTTAACAAGGTTAATGCTAACGTTAGCTTGCACGATCGCGCAAAACCCATCCGCAATATTTGAGGCCTTCACGCTCACGACCAATGTTTGTGTAACGGCCATAAAACCTTAGTAATCGTATAGCTAGCAAAACTGACTATTAAAAAAGTAAAAACCATTGAAACGTATTGTTAATGGGTTTCACCAATTCATACAAACTAGCTTGAAACGGACTCATGTTGCTAATGTTAGCTTCACGTAAATGCTAAGTTGATAGCATTAGCTCGTAGCCTACAGGGAGTTGGTAACATTTCACAGGGGTTAATTTTAGATATTGACCACTTGGGAGTTATTTTGATAAGAAGATATATTACTAAAGTTTGATTTAGTAAAAGGCCGTGTGAAGCAGATTTAACTGGCAACTTAAACTAGTGCTTTTAATGATTCGGTAAACATGTTGGCTAACGTTAACTCAAACTTCTCTCCTAGCAAGTGTTTATCAGCGTCATGGTAATGTTAGCTTAGGTAGCTAGGTTTCCCGATTTGCCACAGGAGGATGGTCTGCAAAAGGGTTGCTTTGAATCCATTTATTCACATAGCCAGTTATCATATGGGTTTTCTGGTAAATATATGACTGCCAAACGTTAGGTAACACGTAAGGCAGATCGCTTGCTGGTAATATTGCTAACTTACATTAGCTTGCTCTTTGTTTCAAGTGGTGATTTTAACTCTCTCAGTCCATTAGTCAATAGGAATGTCCAGTTGGCCGCTTTAAAGGCTACGTTCTTCTAAATTGCTTGACAAAACTGCCGCAGTATTTATGCTTTTGTTAACGGTAATGTGAGTTAGTTCGGTAAGCGGAATTTGTGTACCACATATGTGGGTACACTCGAGGCCTAGTAACGTTATAAGCTATGGGTTCGGCAGGTTTGTAGTTCTACAATATCTCCGTGAACGTACCATACTAACCTATGTAGTTTAAAACTCGTGTTGACCCTATATTGGGATTTTATTAACAGATTAATATCTTGGCAACAAACGTACTTTTAATTGTACTGCTATGCACGTAGGCCTCAAAGCCTGTAACAAAACATTTTGTTGTCAAATGATTGTAAATATTTTTCTGCATAAAAGTAATACTACAGAACTCATAGTTTAGTGCTTCCAACACAGGAACTCCCTTTTTTGTTTGCCATTTTTTATTTATATTACACAACTGTTTCACTGTTTTAAATCACATTTAACTTGTTTTACCCTTTCATTACAGATGCTGAACTTGATTTTAAACTGAAGGACTTTACCTAGCACCGGGATCCACTGATCGGAAAACCCATTTGGACGTTTATATATTTTTTTACACTTGGGGGGGAGGAGAATTAACCTATCACTGAAGTGACTAAAGGGGAATAATGGTGATTTTGCGCCGTGCTCGGCCGCCTGCTTCCGCCCCGAACAGCAATGAATCTTGACTCGCTTTCGCTGGCTTTGTCTCAAATCAGCTATCTGGTGGACAATTTAACTAAGAAAAACTATCGAGCCAGCCAGCAAGAAATACAGCATGTAAGTGATAGTGTTGGACATCAAGTTATTTTTGTTCATCATTTATCTTCTTGAAGTGTCCTAATATATCTCCCATGTGTTCTGGATATTTTGCCTGTATTCTCCCAGATTGTGAATCGTCACGGTCCTGAGGCAGACAGGCATCTACTTCGCTGTCTCTTCTCTCATGTGGATTTCAGTGGCGATGGTAAAAGCAGTGGCAAGGACTTTCACCAGGTAATTTTTGATTAGAAACACATTGTTTTTTGTTTGTTTTTTACAAAGCTCTTTCTTAGTAGTACTGCGTCATAATTTCCCTGAAAAGCAACAGAAAATGTTTTTTCAGACATTTGTTAATGGTTTCCTTAGAACTGTACTTTTAGTTTCCTAAAAATGTACAACGGTTGAACTAAATTTGGCCTGCTGTTTTTGAAGTGAAATTAGTTTAGCACTCTACGTGTCTCCCATTTCCCAGGATTTTCACGCAGTTTAGCTGCAGAACTTTCTAGAATTGAATGCTACCCTTTTAAAAGTAAATTGGTATTAGACACTTTACCAGTATAAGTAAATGGGCTCTCCCACAGAAGTGAATCCTTTTTTTTTTTAATAATAAGAAAACTGATTACTGTTGGATATGCATGATTATGGTTGGAACACAAATCTCTCTTTTCTGAAAAGGTCTGAAGCGTTCGATCAACTTAAGAACTTGTTCAATAAAAGCTATCACATATTTGTGAATAACAATTACAATTGACGAGGGTTATACAGAAATAATCAATACATAGAAAGGTCTCGTATCTTATGCATTTGTAGTAATATATATATATATATATATATATATATATATTACTACAAATGCATAAGATACGAGACCTTTCTATATATATATATATATATATATATATATATATATATATATATATATATATATATATATATAAAATATTGAAACTTCCTATTGGCTTGTTTGTGGTCCTAAAATGAATCTTATTGAGCAAACAAACATTTGTCTCCAACATTCAATATATTAAGATATACAACAGTCATTTTAGACTTTTACACACAAGCTGTGGTAGTTTCAGATCCAATTTCACAATTGTTTCAGTGATACAAGATGATTACAAAAAAAACAATCCCTGGTTTTCATAAAAGCCCAATGTTGATTTTAAAATAATGTTAAGTTAAACTGACAACAAGGTACCACCCAGGAAAATATATTTGGTCAGATGTTTTTCCCCCTTAATTATCAAAGTGAAACTTTTTCCTATTCACTATGATAAATTGTAGTTGTCACTCGCTTGTAGATAAAGAGTACACAGACATGAATGAGCGTTCTATTCTTCAGGTCTTTTTCGTGAATTCAAAAAAATATAGAGGACAC